ACCAAGGCAAACATTATGTGCCAGAATCAGTGTACTGTGTAGCTAGTGAGAGTCTGTATATTGCATATTGCCCTTGTCCTAGCGCCATGAAGGCCTGAAAGCTCACCTCACGCCCCCCCCCCCCCACCCCGACGTCGACAGCCACAGCAGCCCCTGGGCCAGTTTTAGAAGTAAAAAACAATCTAATTAGCAGTTTTGTCTCATTCTAACCCTTCAACATCTACACTGATGAGCTGTATTAGCGAAACAGCAGTCTGGAGGAATAAAGTAATATCGTCTAAGGAAGTGTACTCGCAGTGGTGATGGTTGTGTGCAGGAGGGTCTAGTCGGCTGTGAGCGCAGTGTAGTGGTAGAGGTAATACTCAACATTAATTTGTATAATTAAGGTACGTGTTGGGTCGTAAGTATCCACGCAAAGACACATCCAGTCAAAATAAGACACTTGTCAAAGTATCCGAACGTTTTCGGTCCCTTCTCATCAATGATTTTACAGGGAATGGGTCAAGTTGGAAAGACTAAAACTTATATAGCGTAAAGATATGAGATAACAACACTCGTGACAAGGTGGAAAATTATCAAGTTTAGCACGACACAAAACTCGAAGGAAATAATAATAGTGACAACAACATAGTGAGCAAATTAAGTTATATTGTTAATACCTCGACGAGAAGTAACACCAAACAATTGTAGCGACAACACATTTTCTTTCTGTTCGCAAAGTTCAGGATCTAACTTACGGATATACAAAGCTTCTAACACAGCCAGATGCAACGCACATCTACCACGTGACTTGAGAACACATTATCACTGTACAACTCAAGACAATTGGTACGGGCTGACAGATGTTGCTTGATTGACGAAGTGCGATTCTTAGCTCCGTTGGGTGGTGATGAGAAGGAACCGAAAACGTTCGGATACTTTGACAAGTGCCTTATTTTGACTGGATGTATGTTTGCGTGGATACGTACGACCCAACACGTACCTTCGTTATTAAAGTATTATCCACCTCCGACCTCTTGTAAAAATTTGTATAATTATTAATATTTGGAAAGGATTGGGAGAACTTCAAATTCAAAGGATCAGTCGGGGAAGTGAACTGCCTGAAAAGAGAAAAAAACGCCAGACCCACCAGGACTGGTCCCATAGCTCAGTGGTTAGAGCATTGCTCATGACAAGCAGGGTTCGAGTCCTGGTGGGTCTGGCGTTTTTTTCTCTTTTCAGGCAGTTCACTTCCCCGACTGATCCTTTGAATTTGAAGTTCTCCCAATCCTTTCCAAATTTACAAGTAATCACTTTCTTTCACCTCTGGTAGTTTCCAGAAACTGACCGTGGTTGGTCCCCTGGGGGAGGAAAAAAGACCCAAGTGCCATCAGTATGTGTGGCACGTGTTGTGGGCTGCCTTTGGAGTGAAAAACTTGTCAGCGCCTTCTGGGTTCAGCCTGGTCCCATAGCTCAGTGGTTAGAGCATTGCTCATGACAAGCAGGGTCCCAGGTTCGAGTCCTGGTGGGTCTGGCGTTTTTTTCTCTTTTCAGGCAGTTCACTTCCCCGACTGATTCTTTGAATTTGAAGTTCTCCCAATCCTTCCCAAATTTAATCACTTTCTTTCACCTCTGGTAGTTTCCAGAAACTGACCGTGGTTGGTCCCCTGGGGGAGGGAAAAAGACCCAAGTGCCATCAGTATGTGTGGCACGTGTTGTGGGCTGCCTTTGGAGTGAAACACTTGTCAGCGCCTTCTGGGTTCAGCCTGGTCCCATAGCTCAGTGGTTAGAGCATTGCTCATGACAAGCAGGGTCCCAGGTTCGAGTCCTGGTGGGTCTGGCGTTTTTTTCTCTTTTCAGGCAGTTCACTTCCCCGACTGATCCTTTGAATTTGAAGTTCTCCCAATCCTTTCCAAATTTAATCACTTTCTTTCACCTCTGGTAGTTTCCAGAAACTGACCGTGGTTGGTCCCCTGGCCTGGGGGAGGAAAAAAGACCCAAGTGCCATCAGTATGTGTGGCACGTGTTGTGGGCTGCCTTTGGAGTGAAAAACTTGTCAGCGCCTTCTGGGTTCAGCCTGGTCCCATAGCTCAGTGGTTAGAGCATTGCTCATGACAAGCAGGGTCCCAGGTTCGAGTCCTGGTGGGTCTGGCGTTTTTTTCTCTTTTCAGGCAGTTCACTTCCCCGACTGATCCTTTGAATTATTAATATAATAATATTAATAATCAATTGTCACAACAGGTAGGGCTTCTGGCAGGGCGCTTGGTTTGCTGATCCACCCGGATATCATACATGTTGTTCTCTTAGCACATGCGACCACTTGGATGTGTCCATGTGAACGCGAGAAATCGTATTTTTGTTATCTCTTAATTTGCACAATCCTATATATAGGATATTGCCATCATATTGGTCATATTTTTCAACTCAAAATGGGTGTGGCATGAGAATAGCAACAAGTTTGTGACCAATTCTTCCTTGCTAGGTCTTAGTAGATATCGAGAGTTGAATAAGATAATTTTTTCAAACACTAACATCTCAGGCTCATCTCCTTGCCCAATATTACTCAGGCCTGTGCCCTATTTTTCGAATCCTATAATAGGATTTTTGATTTTATTGGACCTTGTTTTATCCTTAAAACTGGTAGTTTCATGACGGCATGTGCGATATGTCGTCATGAAACCACCCCGTGCCACACCTGCAATGTTCTTCTGCACATTCACATATGTAGCGTCACATCATATTCTTTAGAAGCTTACCTCTGGCACATTTTTCATCATTTACATGTATTATCCCAGTTCTGCAAGCTTACAATCATAATGCTCAAGCGCAGAGCTCTGCCCTAGACTATGTCTTTTTCTCTTTCTTTGCTCACCTATTGCTCATTACTTCTTTTACAGATTTGGTATTATGGAAAGTTTGGAAACCCCTCGATATGCGAAAGCCTTTGGGGAATCCTTTTAAACAATAAAAATTACAAAATTACACTGCTTCAGTCCTTTCCATGACAGCAGCTGAACAATTATGTTCAAATTTCCAATTATTGCTGAAAATGGGTATTCATCAGAAATATTATCGCCCTATGAATCTGAAATGTAAAAACATCATGCCTCAAACATATTTACAACTTCCATGAAAACCATTATGCCGTTATTATCGGTCATGATGACCAATAACAACGGCATAAAAGGCACACATTTTCAAATCCTATATACATGTATAGGACTTTTGGCCAGCAAATTCAGAGATAGGACCAATTTCAAAGAAAAACCAACGAACCTAGTCACAGTACAGGGGCGAGAGAAGAGGAAAAAATGTACTATCGGTTAGGATCAGATAATATCTTGCAAATAGTCACCAAGAACTTCCCTGCCCACTATGAGTTGGTGTGTGTGGTGGGGGAAGGGGGGGGGGGGGGGTCGCTGTACTGTTTTGTCGCTACAACGAGATGCATGCAACAAAACTATTTCATGTAGAGGGTCTTTGTGGTGCACTTTCACAACAATAACGGACACACAGAAGTTTTGCTGTTAGCACGGTGGCTCAGCAATGGCCTTGATGTATTGATATCCACCAAGGTTCTCGACAACTAAGGCTTTCGGCTTGTGCTTGTCTTCGTTACGCGTACCTTCTTCTCCTATGTTAGTACTAATAACTCAAAACCTTCCAAATTGGAAGGCAGTTGGAGTGCGCATCTATGATGTGGTAGAGGTGATTGGCAGTTTTAAAAGTCAGTACCGTCGGTCAGTGTCGTGTAATGTTATCGCATGACAGTATAGAGTAACTTGTAGTTCCTTCGTCCTATTTCTCTCCTTTAACATCTTCCCATGCTGTCCATCCGAGCCATGTTCCTCTTTATCGGCCTCAATAAGTGTATAAGGGTTATAATGAAAACAAGTGCAATGATAATGCTGATATTTGCCCAGCACAGCACACCAAACACTGTGAGATGTTACAATGACTGCTACAACACCCAGGGAAGCTAGAGAATCAGAACCCATGCCCCAGAAAGGTATAATAACAGTCACACACTCACCGCACGGTTATCATCCAGCTTCAGTTCAATCCCTTTGTAGATTAACTCCTCTGTGACTAGTCCTCAGCCCTGAAACTCTCTTCATACAATGACCCACGACGTACCCCCCCCCCCCCTCATCGCCCATGTTTAACTAAAAACTAAACGTCGAAACTGCAATAGCTACACGACTAACGAGAAAGGCAGTAAATGATCACCGCATCGATAAAAACACATCGAGAAGTCAGGGGTGTGGAATTGGGCTACAAACACTGCGCCTGCGAAAGGCCATTGCGAAGTTAAACGAATGCGTTCAAGCACAGCATTTTGCTGCAGCAAATGTTTCTTGAAAATCTCGCCTTTATTTTTCAGGAGCCCAAATGTTCAAGTTACTAAAAAAGACACAGGATTTCTAACTTTGGCCGTAGGAAAGGGTACTGTTTCTATTTGTGGTGCTGTTTTTCTTTTTGCTTGATGCAGATATCGATGAATGCAAGAATGCAACAAACTGCAGTCCTAGTCCCAGAGGTACCTGTACTAACACATTCGGCAGTTACCAATGCTCTTGTAATGCAGGATACACTAATGGATCAACCTGTCAAGGCAAGTAACCTGATTTCACGATCAGCACTATTTCTTAAATCACTTTGGACGGTTTGGAGTATATTATCATTAGTCGCAGAGTGTGCTACTGACAATTTGTGACTCGTAAAGTTGAAAACCAGTTCAAATTGCCATCTAGCAAAATCTTATGAATGTTGAACTGTTGAATATCTTACCCTCTGAAGTAATCATGTTTGCTTCAGGAATATACCTGGGTGGACTTGCACTAGTGTGCATATAGAAGTCAGGCTAATCAGTTGAAACTTAGAGCTTCACACTGAGCCATCACAAGACAACGTAGCCATGCACTAAACTAGCATATCCAGAATTAAATTAGTCTAATCACATTATCAAAAATGTCTGATTATTGACAGCCTAAAGATGGGATGATCGACTTTTGGAAACCATGGCCTTTTCATTACCAAGTATGCATCGAACACGTTCAGCGTAGCATTGTGTTGTTATAAGGCTAACCCTTGCAGAATCGTGGTGGCAAGGACACATCAATTATCTTTTACAAGGACTGGTCCATATTGTCGAATGTTTGCTAAAAGGTAATTGTGTTGCAATATGAACGCTGACTTCATTCATCCAACCCAACCCAGTTTAGGATCATGCACCTAAAGTAGCAGATACATATACACTGAAGCTTGTGTGACCTGTGCTATTCTTCCTTTGCACATTTGACGGCAACATGGTGAAGGGATATGGGATCAGAAATTCGGCTAGTTTTGGAAATGGGTGTAAAGTACCATGATAAAATGTATGGAGAAGGAAGCACAAACCCCATATTTGGGGAATACAAAGTGAGGTTGGGGCCTTTAATAGTGCGGCCAAAACCGGTTCTAAAAGGCTGGGGGGGGGGGGGGAGAACCTAAAGAATTATTATTGATCAACATCGGGCAGAGTGGTAAGCGGATACATTCGTTCTCAGCTTCGCCATTTCCCTTTTTGCCTCTATCTTTTAGATATTGACGAGTGCTCAATTACCCCTGGCGTCTGTCAACATATCACATATAGTATCTGCAAGAATTCACCTGGTTCTTATCATTGTCAGTGCAATTCAGGTTACACAGGAGTAACATGTCAAGGTACAGGTCAAGTATGGATACTTTATTAGTAGTGCTGGTTTACTTGCGCATGGCAATGTAGCGAGCAGCCAGCGCTTCCTGCATGGTGAGGTGGCTGAACATCCACAGCTTACTGTCGTCCTTCACTGTGCTGTCCGCTAGCAGAAGCAAGCCGAGCCCTTTAGCTTCTCGCGATAAGGAGTGCTTGTTCAGCTCTGTGTCGGTAAAGATCAGTTGCTGCTTGGTAAGCATGGCGAACGAAAATGCTCCCAACTCCAGGATCAGCTTTTGAATGTCGACGGGAATATCATGCCAGTTATCATACTGTTCCTCTGTGCGGCGCTCGGCAACCTGTACAATCATCAGGTCGAGGATATCCGACAGACAGCGAGGTAGCATGCCACGCCGACAGTGGAAGAGTTTGCACGTCTGCATGGCCAGGAATGGCGTGGCCATCATGCTGGCAAGGCCCTGGTCACCTCGCACTGCCGTTACCAGTGCGGAGGCCTCTTCTGGCGATCTGAGTACCTTACCAATGTACGTTTCCACGTCTTGCTGTCGGAAACCGACAATCTCCATGATCCACACGTTTGTCGAACGGTTTTCGTCCGCACATGCTGAGTACTTGTACACATGGTCGCGGCGTCACCACAAGCCGTAGTCCTGGCAGGCACTTGCCGTTGATCACGTTGCGCACAAACTCACTGCACTCGCTCAGCTGTATCTCGTCAAGGCCATCGAGTACGAGACACACTCGCGATGCATGTTGCCGTACAAAGCTGTCTATGCTCTTGCATTCATCACTGTCAAACATCTCACACTCGCAAATGCCAAGCAAAGAGCACACACTGGTGGCTTCCCTCACCTCCTTGCTACGTAGCTTTCTAGTCACCAGCAAGTAGAACTCAGTCCATAGATCCTTCCGGGCCCACTTCAATGGAGCAGCTCTTGTGAATACGAATGTCTTGCCGCAACCAGCACTGGCGACTTCTAGTATACGGTATGTTCGACCAGCGATAGAGAACTGCATCTCCTGCTGTTCGCTCATGTCGAAAAGACTCTCCAGCTGAATGTGCTCCAAGCTGCCGGCAGCCTTGGTAAATACATGTTCCACCCTCCACATGTCACCGCTCGAGTCTAGTGGATCTACTAGTGCTCCTTCCACGAGCATGCAGTCTCTGAATAACCTCCGTTTTTGAGTCTTTAACATGTGTAAGTGTGATCCGATGATCACCAATAAATCATCAGTTCGAAATGTTGGTGCCATCAAACGTTGAAAAAGAATTATTTGGGCAAAATATGACATATCCCGAATAACCAAGGCAAATCCCGCGATTTTGCCATGGCGATCCAGAAAAAGCACTCTCAGTACTTGGCAGGTATGCACTGATACTGAAGTTTCCTCCTGAAAATTCCTGAGTGGTACCACTCGCCCACTCAATAATACTTTTGTGCATCCGCACATATTCTCCAGGTGTCAGGGGCCCAGCCTCTCCACCGATCAGGCTCGCCACACACAACAACTCAATTGACTACACAATTCTATTATTCTGTGATAAGACGCAGACGGGCAAACATGAAGACAGGACACGACGAGGCAAAAATGAGAACTAAAGAAAAAGGCAAACATCGTGGCATCATACGGGCATACGCAATACATTGTGACACACGTGGCAATGACGTAACCGTTCATGACCAGCGCATGTTGCCCAGAACACTACACGTGCAGCCAGAACAGAGCACCAAAGTCGACAAGTAAAACGCAGACAATACAAAAGGAAACCAAAGAACACAACAGAAAGAGGCCATGGAAAGTCTGTCACTATAACAAACCCGTTGCGCAGCAAATACAATGTTCGTGAACGGTATTGAAAACCACTTCCACCACTATGTTTTATGTGACAATCTCATACCCAGATATAAACGAGTGTATACCAGACACGGGTGTCTGCAAGAGCACAGCTAACAGTCACTGCAACAACACTCCTGGCTCATATCAATGTCTTTGCAGGACTGGATACACAGGTTCACCATGTCAAGGTACAGGCTGTCTGAATAGTATTGATCCTGATAGCATGCAAACGAGGTGGGAGGGGGAGGGATTGTGTATATCGCAGCGGGAACAATCTGTGGACATGCTAGTGGAACACTGTTACTTTCAGAACTACAAGATTCTGAACTAGCTATAATTCCCGGTTGTACTGTGTAATACACTCTGCTTTGGAGGCAACACATTTCGTGAATCCTTCTTCGTTTCACGCTCTTAGAATTATCACAGAGAACCCCCTAAGTCGAGGGGAGAATTTCTCAAATAGCTTTCAGAGAAGCAGGTATTATCAGAGCACCGATATGCGTACTGGAGTCTCAATGTTTACTTTTGCTTGGTGGTTGGCGGAAAGACCATGCTCCCCAGAGATTGATGATTGAGTTTACATGATGTAGAAATCATGGGGTGGCGGGTCAGGCGGTATGTAGTTGAAACAGTAGGGTCGGCTAACTTTGGTGCTTCACTACTTCCAAGTGTCCTTTTAAGAGCGCGACTAATGACGATTTGTGGGAAGTTTTGATAATGGTAGCTTATTGAGCATAATCTCTCGAGGCCGCTGGAAAAAAGGCATACGCTCGAGGATGTTTGTGAGATTGAAGGTGATATCAATGCTTTTTCTGTATTCACATGCCAGATATCGATGAGTGCACACATGATAAGGGTGTTTGCAACGATATTGCTAACAGTCAATGCAACAATACACCTGGATCATATCAATGTGTTTGCAAGTCTGGCTTTACAGGAACACCTTGTAAAGGTAAGATGCTAGTATATCATTTCATATAGTTGATAGGAAATGTGTTTGCAAGTCTGGCTTTACAGGAACACCTTGTAAAGGTAAGATGCTAGTATATCATTTCATATAGTTGATAGGAAACGTCTGATCTAGCCAAGGCACCCTTGAACCCGAAAAGCATTTTAAGAAGCATCAGCACACAAGTGGGCGCAAATGTCCGGGCAAGCACCTGCACATGAAAACCCACAAGGCGAGCGGCAAGGGTTCGCGCTAAGGTAAGAGTGCTCAACCTAACGACAAAAATTAATAATATATATATATATAACGCCGAAGGAAATGATTGTAAAACGCCAAAAGACGCCATTAATTTGGTGCTGCAATAGCGCCATTCAACAGGTAGCAACGCTGAAAACTAATACATGTTAGCGATCTCCGATGGACAACACTGGCGATAGTGCTAAGACGAGAGACTGGGCAAAGGTCTAGCGTCACAGTAACACCAGGAAAATAAAACCAGACGAGAATGACGCTTCACGCGTCACACAGACCACAGGTACTTGCAAACCACAAGGAGAAATGGTCTCGAAAGAAGTCGAAATTGTGAGATGGTCCCTGCGCTCCACACGTTCGTGTAACGCGGGTCTAACAAACACCCCCTTCCTTTCAGATATCAATGAATGTAAGGACGACAGAGACATCTGCAAGAGTACAATCAACAGTGAATGTAACAACACTATCGGATCGTATGAATGTGTTTGCCAAGAAGGATACTCTGGACCTCCATGTCAAGGTATCGATTCGCTCGGATTTGCAATGTCCATGTTGAACTTCAATCTATGTGTGCAATATCCATGGCTTCTTGAGTTTTTGGCTTCCTTAGGAGTCTGACATTCTTTCAAGGCGCACAATCCACATGAGCAAATATCGCTTGTAGGTCCATTCCCAACACTGCCATTCCTCTTTTTCCCCTATTTTATATTTTGACGAGCGCTCTAACTCCCCTGGCGCTTGTCAATGCATCACACACAGTAACTACAAGAATGTACCCAGTTGGTATCGTTGCCAGTGTAGTTCAGGTGACACAGGAGTAACGTGTCAAGGTATATGTTAAGCAAGGACACTTATCAATAGTAGTGATTCTGGGGGTTTTACTACTCTAAATTTTACATTGTCTTGATAAAGTTGATATGAACTAGTATTGCACTTTTCCGTTAGGTTATAAATGATCATAGTCAGCAGAGGTCGAGGATAACGTCACGATCACAAACAAACCGTGCGGTATTAAAGAATAGTAGAATCCTGATCCAACTTGAAAGACAAAATATGATAATTTGGAACAAAAAGACCTGGAGAAGAAAATCAAAAGGAATTCCCAAGCAAGTTGGACGCGATGAATTTTGACCCCAACCTCCCTGCCTGGACGCAACGACGGGCACTTGACAAACCCAGGATTCTTATCCAGAGCACATGAGAAGCGCATTGAACCTGCCGTTAGGCAAACCTGGAAAAGAGCACCACTTCTGACGCGACAAACCAGCATTTAGTAGAATTCCACCCTCAACAGTCCTCCAGATGTACACTGAAGAAGGAAAAACTGCTGGTAAAAAGATTGATGTATGACTATAGGAAGAAAAAGAAAGACTAATGAACTAGAAGTTACGCTATACTGTCCACTAACACCACCAGTTACCTGGCAATCAGCTCATGCGATAACATTCCACAACACTGACCAAAGGTACTGACGTTCTGCAACTATGTAGTAACTGCCAATCTGCTCTAGCCTGTCGTGCAATGTTATCGCAAGAGCTGATTGCCGTGTAACTAGTAGTGTTAGTGGACATTATAGCGTAACTTGTAGTACATTTCTTCAACGTAGTAGTAGTACGTGCATCTGCGTGATCCACACCAGTTCAAATGAACACTAGGAAATTTGAGAACCGAACATTTTCCTTCCCCTCTCCTCATTGTACTCTTCATTGTACATTGAAGAATTGGAGAAGTTTTCAATTTGTTGCAATTCGTTGGTCCTTTTTTCTTCCAATACATCCTTGGCTCTCCATCCGAGTCTGATTTATGACTATCTCGCGTTTTAACAGCGCGGCAAGTACATGTAGAAGGACAATCAAGGCATTAGTGTAGTACGTTTTGAAGTGCGGTTGGCAATTTTTGGGCTCTGCCTGTAGAAAGGATTTTAGCTTCAGTACCCGTGTTAAAGATCAGTTCTACCTGCATTAATGAAACCATGTCTCAAGTTAATAGAACTAGCTTATCGAGCAGAGCCAAGGGTTCCTCTACCAAGCCAAGCACGAAATCTAAACCCTGTAGTTCGCCTGGAGAGAGCCGACAGTCAGCATCCCGACTATCAGACGGTATGAACCCTCCTGCAGCCAACAATGATGAGGGTGAGTCACTGGATGGCATTGTGTCGATAGAAGTGCTAGTGAGTGAATTCCGTTCCACAATGTCGGAGCTTCTAGATGAGCGAATGGCTACAATCATTGCCCAGACGACAGAAATAAAACAAGCATGCAAGGATTTGGAGGCAAGAGTGAGCCAATTCGAAAATCAAATCAGAGATGAGTTTGAAGTCAGAACAGCTACCCTGTTAAGTAGAGTCGATCACATTGACACCAAATTGCAAGCCGTTGACCCCATGGTAGAAAGCCTCCTTGACACGGTAGACAAGGCCAAGCGAGAAACGGCAACCTCCTTCATCATCCAGGGCCTTGGGGAAGGGGAACAAGAGCTGGCCTCCAGTTCAAACGATACGGGTACGGCAACCATAGACGCAGTTGTGACCCTTGTACGGGACACACTAGGCTTCCCACTGCAACAAACTGACATTGTTGCTGCACAGCGACTTGGTGTCACGCGTACGTCAGTACAACAACCGCCACTCAAACCGCGTCCCATCCTGGTCCGCACTGCAACGCCAGATGCCTGCAAGCGCATGCTCCAGCTACGGAGCAGACTCCGTACAACCAACGAGACCAGGGAAAAGGTGTACTTTTCTGAAAATCTGACCAGGGAGGAACGCCAATTTCAACAGAAGCTGCGACCAGCTTTCCAGGCAATGAGAAAGGCCGGAAAGATCTGCTATCTGCGCACCACTCACATCGAAGTTGTTGCGACGAAGGACTTGCCCAGAGTAATCCTTCATTCGCAGGTCCTTGCAGAAGAGTATATGCGAGCACACAACATCGACCCGCTGGCAACAACACGAAGCAACGCAGCACAACTACACCCAAGAGCTGGCGCACTTGGGAGCTCAAACCGGCAACAATAGGAACCTCCGGGGCTCCGAGTTGCACACCTCAATTGCCAAAGTGCAATTAGAAAACTCTCTATTTTAGAAGCATTCATTAAATATCACGATATAGATATTCTTTTTCTCACTGAGACTTGGTTTTTTCTATCCCTCCCCGACCACAGTGTAAATATCCCTAACTATGTAGTATTCAGACGTGACCGAAAGACAGCCATACTAGGCAGCACAGGAGGAGGTATAGCAGTGTATGTCAAATCCAGTCTTTCCCACAGGATTACTAGGCTGCCACAAATGGAGGGCCCGGACATAGAACATCTCTGTCTTCAAGTAAGCATCACTCAACAGCTTCCAATGGCCTTTCATGTCTTCTACCGCCCGCCACATCGTACCGTAGACGAGCGCGACCAATTTTTCACTTCCTTCAGCCGTACCTTTGAACAGAACCAGCCACACTTGCCCACAATCTTAGTGGGTGACTTCAACGCTAAACTACGTACATGGAACTCTACAGACCCGTCTACAGCAGAAGGCAAGCTTCTACTCAAAGCATTAGACCAGTTTGGATTCATCCAACTCGTCCACAACACCCCGACTAGATATTCTGCCACTGGCCGCCAGGGTCCATCGCTCCTTGATCTTGTCATCACAAACACACCACAGCATGTATGTGACATTCAAGTGCTGTCCTCCATTTCCGATCACTGTCCCGTTGTCTTCAAAGTTGCTTTGCCTTCCCTGGCCCAGTCATCTCCCAGTCAGTCACGTGCCGTTCCTGATTACGTAAACACCGATTTTGATGCACTCAGAGACCACATATGGAATCTTCCACTTTCGTCTGACATCAGTAGTATGTCCTCAGTTGAGCAAGCGTGGGATAGTTGGCATTCCTGCATTACTACGGCAATCTCGTCACACGTGCCTATGAGAACTATTTCCACAAAGCGAAGAACAGATACACCCTGGTACACTGGCCGCCATGCCACTCTTTGCAAGAAAAAAGACCGCCTTTTCCGTTTAGCCAAGCGTACAAACTTAACAACCCACTGGGTTGTCTTTAAAGTTGCCCGCAATGCCTATCAAGCCTCCGTCCGACGTTCTAAAGCGATCTACCTGGAGAACATGAGCGCACGGGTTGACAGAGAACGAAGTCCGTACCAGTGGTGGCGCCAAGCCAAACAGCTCACCAATATATCTAAAACGCGTGCACCAATTCCATCCCTTGAGTCTGGAGGCGAGGTTGTAACCACAGACGCCTCCAAGGCGCACTTGCTGGCTGACGTGTTCTCCAACCAATGCTCCAACACCCACACCCAACAACTAGCTATTCCGCACCCCCCACCTACGCCAACATCGCCCTTCGATATCTCAGTTATATCTGCCTACGACGTCTTTGATACTCTCAAGAGATTGCCTGTCCATAAAGCTGCCGGTGGTGACATCCCGAACCGCATTCTGAAGGAGACCGCTGGTGTCATTGCCCACTCCCTCTGCAAAGTCTTTAATTTAAGTATAACACAAGGCCGCCTGCCACCATTGTGGAAAACGGCGCAAGTTGTACCAATATATAAGCAGAGAGGTTCCACAGCTGAACCCCAGAACTACCGCCCTATTTCTCTCTTGAACTCGGTCGCCAAAGTGCTTGATTCGATTGTCGCGCGCCGTCTTAGCAGGTTCCTTAGGAATGAAGATGTAATAGTTTCGGATCAGTTCGGGTTTGTACACGGTCGGAGCACAGTTGACCAACTGATACATTTAACGGCTAGCGCCGCCAAGAGCATGGACAGCAGCCAGGAGTATGATGTGGTCTTCTTGGATTTTGCCAAGGCATTTGATCGCGTCCCGCATTCTACCCTTCTGGCCCTTCTACAACCACTATGCAACCCAACGGCTACTACTTGGTTTGCAGGTTACCTTGCAGCTCGCAAGTTACAGGTCAAAGTTGGCGAAGACCTTTCCCCCCTCGCCCCTATCTCGGCGGGAGTTCCTCAAGGTTCCCACCTTGGCCCCATCCTATTTCTCCTGTACATTAATACCCTCCCGAGATCAATCCCTGATGGCAACAGGACGGAAACATACCTCTATGCTGATGATACTGCGCTGGGGTTATCCCGACCGCCAGCAGCAGCACCTCAACAGCTCCAGTCAGCAGTGAACATGGTGATGGACTGGGCTGCTACATTTGGTGGCAGGTTTAATGCCGCTAAATCCGTGCGTGTTGTATTCGGCAAACTTGACCCCGCCCAGACTCCTGCCCCAGCACTGCGTGTGGATGCTGCAGACCTATGTCCCTCGACTACCCACCGCCATCTAGGAATCACCCTGGATCCCCGCCTGTCTTTCCAGACCCACATCAATAGTGTCACCTCCAACTTTCGTCGTCGCGTTGTTCTGCTATCCTACATGTCACCCAATCTGACCCCTGCTCTCATTGCCCGCCTCTACAAAGGATACGTCCGTCCCTCCATTGAGTATGCTTCACCTCTGTGGAATAACAAACTGACCGCAGGAAATATTGACACTTTGGAACGATTGCAAGCACGCGTGGCCAGGCAGTATTTACACCGTCGGAAAGTGCCCATTCCTCATGGCATGGAGAACGTGTTTGAAGCTGCTGAATGGGAAAGTCTTGCGTGGCGGCGGCATATACATTGCCTCAAACTGTTTTACCATTTCACCCGCCAATACCCGGAAACCCTTAATAATCTCAACATAGTTCTATCCAAGAGTGCACGACGTCCCCACTTTTACCTCCTGCCCACTCACACTGGTCCCTGTTTCCGATCCACTCTACTACATTCCATGATCACCACGTGGAACTCCCTGCCTACCGAGATTAGGATATCTGAAACCCGTTGTGTATTTAGCCGGCACGTTAAGTCCCATTTCCACAGGTATAGATTCCATCCTCGAGGTTTTCTCACTTCCTGATTACCCCCCTTCTTTACCAGTACCCTTTTCGCTTGCTTCTACTCAGACTTCTTATTTTAACCTCTTCACATTAATCTTTTTTTATCGTAATATTTTCTTTCTTTTAAGAATTGCACCCTGTTGCACACGCATTGTACACGTATATTTATTCTCGGAGACCCCCTTGATTTAGGCTTCGGCCTTTGGGGAATCCCTCAAATAATAATAATAATAATAAAGGCTTGTCCTTGTTCTTCTGCAGCAGTGATGTTACCAAGTGATTTGGTTGGCGACACCACTGCATCATCAATAATGATAGCTGCTGTTCAAGCATTCGCATCGTACCTCGCGAACGCTGCCCTATTTAATAATCATGAAAGTAATTGCAATGAATTCTTTAAAACGGTTTTAGTCGCAACGAAAAAAATGATACATGGTCCAGGAGAATGGACACTTCACCTCGTGGGAAGCACTTTTGTACGCTCGTCTGTCACTGAGGGTTGAGCTGAAGGAGGCTGATGAAATGTGTGCTCCAGAAGCACCCATTTTAGAACACTGCAGCAGAGATGCAGTACTATGGATAGAGATTAAACTGACGCCTCGTCGCTTCCAGTGCAACAAATATTATAGAGAAGCCCTAGTTAGAAGCAGCGTGATTCAGAGCCACTCACTCTTTGTCTATGCATCCTCAATATCCTCTACAGTATAATGATCTACTCCATAATGTTCTAAATACAATAGTGCATGCCACCAAACGAACCCATTGTTGCCTATTCGCCGTGTTAGTAGGACCTGTAAGCTCTGTACAACATGATTGTTCTCCGAGTCCCTGGAGACATGTTTCCCTGGGGAAACGTATCATTCATTGCCCAGCGCAATCAAATCTGTTGATGCGAGCGTCGAGACGAAGGCCGACAATATCATTGGAATGTTCGGACTAATACAGACAAGTTTAACAAGTGAATATAATTATAATTGTATTCAACCGCTGGACGATTAATATAGGTTAGGGCATGGCAGGGAGGGAATTATGGCTTAATGAGAGAAATTTGTGCGGCCTAATCTGTATATACAAATGTAGTCGACATTTTTTACGTCATGCACATACTCTGACTTCTCATGAGTTGACTATATTTTCCGATTTTCCTTCCAGGCAAGCCGTCAACAACTTTCATGACGATATCACCAGGAACCATCAGCACCTTTCAGAGCACGACGTCTCATACCACCACCTATATTGTCGTGGCAGCAGTAGCTTCTATCCTGGCAGTAGCTCTGGGACTTACGGCCCTAGTCTGCTGTGTGAAGAACAGGAAACTGTCCAGAATGAAAAGTAGAGGAGGTGATCAAGCGCTGTATAGATGTTCTACAACACCCAAATCACGTCTAAGCCAGATTGATGCTGTCACACTGACGACAAATGAACTGTATACCTTACCAGCATGCGCATCGGAAGTGCACAACAGTGCGTGCACGATCGGAAACTCAAACGCGAACAGCACAGTGTCTTCCAGCTGTACTAGCCAGGTTGGCATGACCTTGAATCCTGTGTATGACGACAGTGCACTACATGTACCACTGGCCGTGAGGCTAAGCAACACCACAAATCCAAGTGACAATGGATACGAGGAGGTAGATATTTGCTCAAAGACTTGACACACATCGCAGGTTTGCAAGAGAAAATCCTTATCCACCTTACTTGGCGTTCAATTCCCCAACAGGATTTGTGATAGAACGATTATCTTTTCGGCACCTCTCCACATTCCTCCACGGATACAAATCTTATCACACAAGCAGGACCGCTCTTTTGATTACGTGCCTTCAGCTGAGAAACGGAACACTGATTGTTTACATTATTGTCCTTCGTTAAATAGATATTAATTTTATGTTCTTTGACATTTCTGATTTCGCCGTGTCTTCACCCTTATCATGACAGATTGTTGCCATATATTGTGCATGTTATTTCTGGGCAAGCGTCCTAGAGGCATGTACGTATTTTCGTCATTTCCTGTACTCGATTTGTCAACCACGACTACGGTATAGCGGACACAAGAGTATTGAATCCTCACGATCACACAATTTGAATTCGATTTACTAAGCATAACATGCCGTCACTGCTTGTTGTGCATCCACATTCAATTGCTGATCTGTTCGCTTCATCTTTTTCTCCTTTGTCTTTTTCTTCTTTGCGATTTGGATATGTGATGCTTCAGTAAAAACCAGTGAATAATACAAGTGTGTACATGAACACGAGGCACACGTCCTCCCCTTGATGGCATAAGCGAACTACAATGTGATGGAGAAAGAATTTCATTGGGCTACATGGGCATTCTTGACGAGGAGAAGGAGATGGATTATGCTTGAGAAACACTACATTTCTACGATCCAGGTTGTGCGTGCTTCCCCTAGCTGCATCTCATGTTTGGCAGACCGCAATGACGTACTCTCAATGCAGAAAATTAATTGGTTGCAGTCAGTTTTCTTCAGATTTTTCCCGTTTGCGTCTTTCTCTAAATCAGTGAAAACGAATTTGAGGAGTCACATCATGCACTAGTAGGTTGAACCAGCCCATGGCCCCCAGAAGTACAAAGTCAAGTGGGCCCAATTCGTTCAACTCTCATCCCACTGAGGAGCAGTTCATGACATCCACATGACATCCCCCACCGATGCCATCATGCGTATCGGAAGATCAATATTATCTAGGGCCATGTACACGAGAGCTCGGGAGTTGAAGTACTCGTAGAAAAAAGCCGCCGAAAATGCTGAGCTTGATGACCGTCCATCAGCCTATTGATGACCTTCCATCGTGTCTATTGATAAGTGCGAAGGGCATGCACAAAACACGTTGCACGCAGCAGGAAAGACTGCACACGGAAATAAGCACTGACTGGTCCTTTGCCGTCACTGAATTCCGCAGCTGTGATACCATGCTTGACCAAGATTGGTGTAGCTCGCCTACCATACAACTGGGAATGTCGACACAGGAAATAATTGCACCACCCCAGCTGTCAAATTCCGTCCTGAATTCACTGAAGCAGCGTGAGAAAAGGAAGAGACACTCTGATTTCGTGCCATCTCGTACTTACATTTCTTTTATAAGCGAGCCAGCAGAAAGTGATCGTATTGCACACAACAAATCATGGTCAGGATGCCAAACCGTTGCTCGGCCAGATGGATATTGATCACCAGCATGGCACCAAGGTGTTGTGTGTGTTACCGTCTGTCCCTTGCTCAGTGTCCGCAATGTTTGAACTAACTATATAAGCACGGTCTGGAATGAATTGCCAGCAACGTCACGTCACGTGGGACGTACATGTCTGCTTTTGCTTGTACGCTGACGTTTTCCTGAAACAGTCAACGGCATATGGCTGTTTGAAGAGGCTTCAATCTGCCGCATAATGCCACATCATAGACGGAGAACTATATACATTTAACTACCAGTGTTAGCGCAGAGCGACTTACGTGTTCAATTTTAATCATCATTAATAGCAGAGGCTGTCAGAGACTCGTTGGGAATCAATGACCGAAAGGAATTGTACAGCGAAGAAAATAGAGCGAACGCAAACTCCAGGAGGTAAGAACTAACCTGCACTGTTGTTTTCGGATCCAAAAAGTCACTTACTAAAGTATATCAAGAGGACATAACCCCCAGCTCCAGCTCTGCATAGGGCCGTCGTCCAGCGTAATTGGATCTTTGCGTCATAATACAGTCCAGATCCGACCACGCTCGACCAAGACCTTCTGCAGAGCTGGAATAGGCGTTGCGCACTCTGGGGCGGTTATGTACTTTTGCTTGTACGTGAGATGGCTTTCAAGTTCGATTTGTGCGCTCAAGTTTCTGTAAGGTTGAACGGGGGTTCACTCGAATTGGCCTACGGTGAGAAGTCCGAGAAATAATATTAATATCGAATCAGCGAGCTTTCTTGCGCTGTCCCTTGTCCCTAGAACCACACAAGAGGCTTCACGGTATTCTGGAGTACCACCAAACGCCACACTGCCCATAGCCGGGTTTTAGCTTGGCTGCGGTGCTGCTTGGCATCTTCTCTTGCCAGGTCTGCCACCCGCGGATCACGCTCTGTTCGCCGTCGTCACTTCGACCTCGCGCCTAGCGCCTGTCGACCTTGTCCAGGCTGAGGCGCGTCTGGCTCGACATTAGACTGTATTCACAGCCGTTTATCTCCTTTCTTCCTGTTGTATAACTACTACAGTGGTCCCTCTATAATCCGGCACCATTTGTGCCACGAAAATCTGCTGGATTACGGAGGGTGCTGGATTAACAAATCTGATTTACTGCTGCAATGTGCATGAAGAGGACATTTTGGCTACTGAAATTGTGCTGGTTTATCGAGGGTGCTGGATTATAAAGTGCCGGATTAGAGAGGGACGACTGTATCCGGCGTGTATTTACCGCCATATTGCCAGGTGCGTGTTTACCAACATAATAATTATGGATGAAAAACCCTGATCCAAGTACAGCGCAAAGAAGTTCAGCGCGATAAAGAACACCTTAGGCGCTAGTCGATATACGTACACATGATATCTACTTGTAGTATACTAGCTAGTTTGATATAAACTTAGAAGATGCGACTTCGGCGGTAATAGTCATGAAGTAACGGTTAGTTGATTGTTCCAACTAGGAACTGTTAGGTTCGGTAGACAAGAGACAAGTAGTTTATTGGTTAGAATATACGAAGTAGAAAAACTGACAAGATTCAATCTGTAAACGACAGAGAAGACCTTCAAAGATATGCGTGCGTGCATACACAGTAGAGCTAAAGTTGTACGGCATTACGTCATAACATAACACGCCCCTTCGAAGATAAAATTCCATGGGTGTCAACCGGACACAAAATAACAAACACAGTAACATAATTATTATACTCTCACGCCCCTTCTGAGATAAAACCTGGTTTTGTCTCAACAAAAATAAATAAATAAAGTCATAACAGACGAGATGAAATGACATAGGCATGATGTCAAGATGAGACCAAATATTACAGACAAACATTGTCACACATATGACTGTCCAGACGTAGATGTAATGGTGAGACGGTCAGGCGTCTTGCGAATACGAGTGCTACGACGAACAGGCTGGGTAGCGGCGTCAGTAGGTACACGTACTGATGAAGTTGGGGAAGGGGTATGACTAGCGGAGTCAACACACGGGGGAACATACGGACGGAGAAAGCGGCGATTACGCCAGAGGACACGGCCACTGGACATCTTGACGAAGTAGTCGCGCCGACTGCCAATTGCTACAATGACGCCACGCATGGACCACAGCTTGGTCTGGTGGTGCTGAACATCAACATGGGTGCCAATCCGTAGAGAATGGAGAGGGCGTGCCGATTTGTCATAATGTGTTTTCGGATCTACAGAGTCCACAGCTTCAGCAGACGCAATCCAGTGTCGATCAAAGCTGGCACGGTGGGCGAACACAAACGACTGGAGGGACTGACCGAACAACACTTGGGCGGGGCTGCTGCCATTAGGGCGGGGAGTATTGCGCCACTCCAACAGGCCGCGTTGGAAGGAGTCTACATTCAGATCTCCATTCCGGGTCGTCTTCTCAATGAGCAGTTTCACTGCTTTCACTGCTGAGTCCGCGTGGCCATTGGATTGAGGGTAGTGTGGGGTGGAAAAGCACTGTTCCACACCCCAACGCTCACAGAACTCACGTACACGGGAAGCGGCAAACTGCGGGCCTCCATCAGTGAATATCTTGCGCGGTACGCCAACATCTGCGAACCAACGGCGGAAGTGACAAATGATGTCATGGGAGGTAGCGGTACGGCCAATTCGAGCTACACACGGCCAGCCGGACAGACGGTCAGAATATACCAGGAACTGCCAGCCTTGACAGGAGAAGAGATCTGCGCTGGCATACTCGAATGGAAATGTCGGCTGTGGCTCGCGCATCAATGGCTCCTTCTGCTGCGAACGTTGGAGCTCACGACAGACAGGGTAGGCACGGATCAGGGCTGTGATGTCATCACTCATCCTCGGCCAGTAAACCACTTGACGCGCACGACGCTTGGTACGTTCCAGGCCCTGGTGAGACGAATGCAGGTCAGTCAGTACACGGCGTTGTAGAGACTGGGGCACAACAAGACGAGAGCCACGGAGGACAATGCCGTTATCCAGGGTGAGGTGCTCACGGCCATTCCAATACGGAGCGAGAGCAGGTGGCATGTGACGTCTGGCAGAAGGGAAGCCGTCACGAATATAGGAGACTAACTGCACGTAATCAACGTCAGACTGAGCGGCATCGCGGAGCTCGTGGAACGGAAGACCAAATAGTGCTGATCCGGAGGCATCCTGCTGAAGGCATGCACGGATGGCTTGTCCAGATAGCGAGTCGGCTTCTCCCAGGAGATCATCGGCAACCGGGTTCTGCACTGGAGCACGCGACAAGGCGTCGGCAAAGGCATGCTCAGAGCCCTTGCGCCACGAGACGTCGAATTGATAGAGTTGTACCTTGGTCATCAGACGTTGGAGCCGAGGATTCTCAACCTGGTCCAGTGTGTAGGTGTTCAATATTGGAACAAGGGGCTGATGGTCAACAACTACATGAAACGACATGCCAGCAAGATAGGTGTGGCATTTTCGGATGGCCCAGGCGACACCCAACATCTCCAGTTCGATCATTGCGTACCGGGATTCGGTGTCGGTGATGAATCTGCTGCCGCACTGAATGAGGCGCCACGAATTATTCTGGTACTGCCAGAGGCCAAATCCAAATCCAAATCCGAGACCCTTGGTCCTAGCGGCGTCACACTCGAGACGTGTCTGTGCTGACGGGTCAAAGAAGGCCAATAACGGTGGGTCAACAAGTGCTTGCTTCACAGCGTCCATAGCGACTGTGTGCTCGGGTAGCCAGAGAAACTCATTCTTGGATTTCAGCAGACCGCGGAGAGGCGCTGCGTGTTCGGCGATGGTTGAGCTGAAATCACTGCACTGGTTGACGAGACCCATGAATGATCGCAAGTCAGTGCGATTGGCAGGGATCTCGAAGTCGGTGATAGCGCGGGTCTTTTCCTGGTCTGTCTTCCAGCCGGACTTGTTTATCACGTAGCCGCAGAAATTGATCTCGGTCTCGGCGAAAGCAAACTTCTTGGCTGACAGGGTGATACCATACCGACGAGCGCGTTGAAGAACTTCACGAGTTCGTTCCAGGTGCTGCTCAAAGGAATCAGTGAAGACCAGGCAGTCATCCACGACCTTGGAGAATTGCTCAATACC